TGTCTTAATGATGAGTAAACTGAGGCCCAGAGGTTAAATGACTTGCCCAGGGTCACATAGGTAGTAAGTCTGAGGCAGGATTAGAATCCTTCAGATTCTTCGATCAGCATTTATTAAGCACCTACTATGTTCCAGGTCCTGTACTAAGTGCTCTACAGTTATCTCATTTGATCCTCACAACTACCCTATCACACCTAGATGCTGTTAATTATCCCCGTTTTACAGTTGAGGAAACTGAGGCAAACAGGTTAAATGACTTGCCTAGGGTAACACAGCCAGTAAGTGTCAGAGGCTGAATTTGAATTCGGGTCTCTGGACTCCAGGCCCAGTGCTTTATCATCTGTATCTCCTAGAAAACAAACCAAAAACCAGTCCCTGCTCTCAAAGAAATTTAGAATCACAGATTTAGAAACCTTAGAGGTCATGGAGTTATTTTACAGATGCAGAAACAGAGGCCCAGAGAGAATCAGCAATTGACCCCATATCACACAGGTAGTCAGAAGAGCCAGGATTTGAACCCCCCCCCTTACCTCCTTCATCACTTTGTTTTTTAGTTTCTCCCAATGTCCTTTCCATTGTTTTTTCCATCGGAATTACAGTAGGGCTATCTATATATCTATCTATATATTTTATGCCGTAACTCCTTGTGACTATACTTAGTGAATTATGTAAATTAATATTATGCACAGTATCACTTATATATAATTTATAGATTTATAATACTATATAAATTATTAACAATTTGTATATTATTAATTTATATAAACTTATATGTAAAAATTAATAATTTATATGCTAATTTAATTTACATTGCCTTAAGGTTGAGAGAGCCTGGCATAGTATGGTATGATTTTTTTTTTAAACAGCACCTATATTTTAGGTGGGAGGATAGAGTCACTTAGCTACTAGTATGTAGGGATCAAATGAGATCCCCACATATTTATAAAATACTTTGCAAATCTAAAAACTCTATATGGATGCTATCTACTAATGTATGTTTGCCTCCCATCTTAGTCACTAGGAGTCTTCTAAGATTGCGTAAGCCTGCCATGACCCCTGTTGTCCACTAAAATTCTCTAGGTCCTTTTCACATAAATTGCCCACATCTGTTTCTTCCTGTATTTGTGTAATTTTTTTTCCCAACCCAAATTTAGGGCTTGAAATTCAGTTGGGATAAATGGAACCTTATTACACTTGACCCATCATTTGAACCTACTGAGATCCTGATTCTGTCATTCAGCATGTTAGCTGAACTTCCCAGCTTGAGGCTCTCTGCTGGTTCAGTAAGCATGCCACCCATGCCTTTATGTGAGGCGTTAATCAGCAGGTATTTATTAAGCACCTACTTGTAGCTGAAACCTTCTTATGTATATTCACTCTCCACATTAACAAATGAGCTTCTAGAGAGCAGGGAGCATGTTGCCTTTCTGTTTGTATCCCTAGCATTTATTGCAATGCTTGTTACACAGTAAGTGCTTAATACATGCCTATTCATTCATTCACTCATACACACACACACATATATATATATGTACACACTTCATGTCAGGCATTGTGCTAGTGTTAGAGATACAAAGACAAAAGTGAAACAGACCAGAGACCTGGAACATCTTTAAACCTCCACGGGCAGAGCCGTAAGTGGCAGACCCTGTGACTCCAAATCCTGTGCTTTTTCTACCATGCTAGGCTGTAAAGGCCTGCTGGACTCCATCATGGTCAGTACCCAAATGGAGTATTACATTAAGTTCTGGATGTCACATTTTAGTAAGATCTTTGATGAGATAGAGTGTGGCCAAAATAGTGGACCAGCATGATTAGGGGTCTTAAAACCGTATCATATAAGGATCTACTGAAGGAATAGGATTAACTCACAACCTAATGATAGAGAAAAGTCATTCATAAAGGTATGGAACAGAGCTTGACCATGGAAAAAAGCCCCGTGGCATTCCATTAGAGATCTCCTACCAGTTTGAGATCTGTCCATTAAGTCACCACTCCTGGAGACTTGGCATTTAAGTTCTGGATCCACCTTACGGTGTTTTCCTCCAGCCTTTGTGTCTTGTCTTATCTACCAGGAAATCGTGAGAAACTTGACCAGATACCTTACTGAAATCCAGGTAGCTCCACTGCATTCCCTTGTTCTACTAATGTAGTGGTAACACCGTCGAAGGAGAGAAAGAGGTTGGTCTGGTACGACTTGTTTTTGATGTGCCCATGTTGGCTTGTAATAGCTGCCGTTTCTCCAAGTGCACGCCGGCCATCCCTTTTAATCATCCATTCTAGAACGTTGCCACAAAGTGAGGTTAGACTCCTGAGCCTATCATTTAAAGACTCTGAAGGCCTAGCTCTAGGCCCGTGTTGCCTGCGCGTTCTCCAGAGTTTTACAAACATCGTGGATGACAGCTGAGTTGTCATACACCTTCTCGTAGTACCATAAGATGGAATCGATGCAGCTTTGATGACTTGTCCCTCCTAAGGACAGTGAGATGGGCCGAGCCTTCTCATTTGGGTTTGTTCAGATCCCTTTGCGTAAGAGTTTTATACTTTGCAGGGAAAGGAAGCAGAAGAAAAATTTAATAGTTGTCTTTTTTTCTTAAAAACAACCAAAAAAAACTTTATTGCTATTTTTATTTTTAAACAGCATTCTCATTTCCTAATACTATGTCTGTAGTAGAAAACCTTTGTCTCCACTCACATGTTTGCCACCCTGGCGCAGGTCCCCATCATCTCACTTCTGGACTATTGGGGTAACCTTTAGGTTGGGCTCCCTGCCTCGCCTCTCCCCGCTCCAGACGTCCGTCACTCAGGTGCCACAGTGATCTTCCTGATCTGAGCCTGTCACCACCACCTTTACTCAGTAAACTCTAGTGGCTTCCTCCTCCCCGTAAGATCAGATAGAAAACCCTCTGTTTAGGCCTTGTTCTTGTTCCTCACATGAGAACTGTGTCCCAACTTGGCGCCTTAGCATGGACTCTTAGCCAATACCTGCAGTGTTCTCCTTCCCACTTCCACCTTCTGGTTTACCTGGCTCCCTTCAGGCATGATGCTGCTCAAATCCCACGGGCTCCTTCTGAGATTGCCTGTCACGTATACTATAGATGTACAGAGTTATTGGCATGGTGTTGAGGGCAGGAACAGTGGTTTTGCTTTTCTTTGTATCTCTAGTGGTCCTATCACTGCTTTGATTGTCTTCTTGACCCCCCAAAATAGATCTTTAAGAAAGGCCCTTTGTTTGTCCAGGAAGAGCCCTGGCTCTGAAGTCAGAAGACCTGGTTCAAATCTGCCTTTGGTAGTTACCAGCTGCAGTTAGACTTTAATGACCTCTAAAGTTGCTCCCATCTTCTCTCTCTCTCTCCACCTTCTCCTCCTTTCCTTCCCCCTTCTCTTTCTCTCTCTCTCTTTCCCTCCCTGTTCCCCCCCCCCACCTCTCTCTGTCTCTGTTTCTGCCTTTCTCTTTCTCTCCCCTCCCCTTTCTCTGCCTTCCTCTCCCTCCCTCCTTCCCCTTCTCTCTCTCTCCACCTTCTCCTCTCCCTCCATCTCCTGCAGGGGTAGATGCCTAGTTGTATGAGAAACACTTTAACCTTAGTGAGTGCAAAGACCCCGGTTCGGTTAGAGTGATTTCGGGGGAGCAGTGCACCCAGAGAAGGAGTGGCCTGGAGGCTGGTCCCTGGCTCTCTTGGAGCCAGCCAAGGAAACTGAGGCAAAGGGTGGAGTGACTTGCCCAGGGTCACACAGTTAGTTCAGGGTCCAACACCAGATTTGAACTTGGGAAGATGAGTCTTCCTGACTCTCCAGGCTCAATGCTGTGTGTACCATGGCGCCACCTAGCTTCCATGATACATATTATCTGCATAATAAGTGCTTGTTCATTTGAATTTAATTCCCTGAGACTCATCAAAGGCAGTGATGAAGCCTGAAGCCAGTCTGGCCAACTGTCTCCCTTGGATGGGCCTTGAAAATCATTCATTCCCTTGTGGCTCTCCCCAGTTTTCCACCCCACCCTCAACCCAGTTTTGTTTGGGGGTAATGAGCTGACAAGACGCTCGAAGTTGTGTGAGGAAAATGGTTTGTTAAGGAACACAAGCTTGTAACTGTTGTCACCAAGACTTTCTTTGGTGATTGGGTCCGTGTTTGTTGTTGGCCAGCAGCGTCCTGCCCGTGACGAGGAGAGCCAGAAGCGCCGCCTTCTGAAGGGGCCCCAGCGCCCGATGACGATGCAGGGTCCAGCTGGCGTCGGTCACTTTCCCCTGCGCTGAGGCCCAGCCGATAACTGGCTTCGGTTTTCGTTTTCTAGCTGCAGAGTTGATGCTCACCCGCTTCTTTTCCTGTCAGTTGAGTTAGAACAGGAAGGGACCTTGGAGAACGTCCTAGGCCCACCGCTTTCAGGTCCTTGTCTCCTCCGTGGGAATGGAAGCTCATTGGAGTAGGGATTGTTTTTTTGTACTTGTATCCCCAGTGCCTAGCAATGTGTCTGGCGCCCAGTAGGCAGTTAATAAATACTTGTTGATTGATGGGTAGATCACTGGGCGTTGTAGTCAGGAAGATCTGGGTTCAAATTTTGCCTTCACTCTGGATAGCCTCTTGAGCCTGGCAAATCATACAACCTTTTGGGCCTCAGTTTCCTCATCTGTAAAATAGGGATGACAGCACCTTCTTCACAAAGCTGGTTTGAGGCTCAGGTGAGATGATAGGATCATAGCTTTGTAGCTAGAAGGAATCTCAGAGTTCATCTAGTCCATCACTCCCATTTTACAGGTGAGGAAACTGAGACCCAGTGTCTCGAGGCAGGATTTGAACCCAGATCTCCGTGCTGCTAACTGCAAATCCAGCACTGTGAATTGTACTGTGATTTTTCAGCATCACTCCTAACATTCCCGTAAGGCAGATATGTTGCATCCCGCCCGTTTTATACGTGAGATCATCAGAGGCCCACGGATCTAATGGCCTTTCGGGTCTCCCTCCTCATCCATGCAGTGTGTGTCTCTCTCTCTGTATCCCAGGGCAGTGAGATCCAGGACCCTGCCTACGTGGACAGTGAGAACACGCTCGGAGAGTCCGACCTCTTTCCCGAGGACGAGGCCATGACGCTGGCCCAGCACGAAGTCCTTCATGAGTCTGACATGGACAGCGCCATTGACAGTGCCCCGAGTCTGGAAGTATCTGACATGAGTCCGGGAGAGGAGAAAGACGGGGTCCTGGGAGGCCTCTTTCTTCCAGGCGACAAGTAAGTCCAATGTCCGGGGCAGAAAAACTGCCCCTAGGGCTGGTGACAGCCTGTCCTGGTCAGGTCCCAGCTGAGGGGAATTCCTCCTTCCCTTTCATGTTGTGAGCTGATGGGCGGACAGCAGTGCTGGTGCTGGGACACAGTGGAGGATGCCCCCTTGAAGTGGGAAGGGGACGGAAATAAGCATTTATTTAGTGTCTCATCGGGTCCTTTCAACCACCTGGGAGATAGATACTATCGTTATTCATTTTACAGCTGAGGAAACTGAGGCAGACACATTAAGTGACTTGCCCAGGGTCATACAGCTGGTGAGTGTCTGAGGCCAGATTTGAACCTGGGTCCTCCTGACTCTATCTACTATGCCCCCAGCTTTGGCTGATTTGGAGGTGGGCTGAAGAGCTGAGCTGCTCATTAATGGACAGCCAATAGTTGCGAAATCAGATCTAGGCTTGAATCCTGGCTCTTGTATTTATTACCTGTGTGACCTTGGACAAGTTGCTCCTCTTCTCTGAGTCTTGTGCTTGTGTAAGGCTGTGTGACCCTGGGCAAGTCAGTGAATTTCCTTGGGTCACACAGCCATGTTCGAGTCTGAACTCAGTCCAGACCAGTCCCTTATCCACTAGCGCAGGTGGGGCTGAGGAGAAGAGGGATCAGGAAAGTCCCCTGGGAAGCGACGTTTGAGCCAAGATGCCGAGCAGCAGAAGTGAGGAGACAGGAGGGAGGGCGTTCCAGGCACGCACAGAGCTGGCAGCGAAGGTGCTGTTTATGAGAAACAGCGAGACAGGCCGGTGCGGCTGGACCGGAGGATGCGTCAGGGCGGGTGGGTCAAGGCGGGAGGGTGGGTGACATGTCATGAGTTCGGAGAGGTGGCTTGGGGCCGGATTGGGAAGGCCTTGAAGGGCGAGAAGAAGCGTTTCCAACAGGGCTTTTCTTGGTCTTCCAGATCGTTTATCCCCAACCCGTCCGCAACGTCTGATCTCTCCACACACTCAACAGCCTCCCTCATCAGCAACGAAGAGCAATTTGAAGACTACGGGGAAGGGGACGATGTGGACTTCAACCCCAGCAGCCCCTGCCCCGATGACGAGGCTAGAACCAACGTCTACTCCGACCTGGGATCCTCCGTGTCTTCCAGGTGCCTGCTCTGGCTCTGGCTCGGGGGTGGGAAACGGGACCTGATTAGGGCTTAGGGTTCAGAGAAGACGTGGGGCTGCAACTTGGTGCTTTTGTACCGAGGAAATAAGGGCTCTGGGAGAGGCAGCCCGGGCCTGGCCTGGAGTGAGCGCTTCCTAAGTGCTTGTTGACCGACTGAGTGACTGCGTTCCAGAGCTGGTTGTTAAACATTTACTAGCATGTCCCTGGCACTAAGTCAGGGATCTCGGGCTTGGTTGTCTCCCTGCCCTAGTAGTGGCTACTTCTCCTTGGGGGTTGGGAGCAAGAGGGAACACCTGACTCTGTGTGCCAGCTTTTGTGAGCTACTGATGTCTGTTTTCCTCTCTCCACCAACCCCCCATTTCATACCTGGGAAAGAGGCCATTTCAGATTTCCCTGGGGAAATTGCCGAGAGGCAGGAGTTAAATACTAGAGCCTGAGTCCCTACTTAGACCTCAGACCGTGGCCTTTGAATGGCCGTTAGCCTACTTAACTCCCTTCCACTCTCCACCTCCAGAGTATTGTAAGGATTCTAGATCTAACCGGTACCAGGAGTGATTTCTATCATTGAATTGCTCCCAGAAGTTCTCGGGAGTTCAGACATTCCTAAAGTGCACTCACTAAATTTGGAGTCAGCAAAGATCTGGGTTGAACATTTGCTAATTTTGTGAACCTAGGCAAGCCATTAAATTTCCTCACCTATCATATGGAGCTTATGATAATAATAGTACCATAGTATATACCCCACACCGGGTCGTGGGAGGCAAATCAGACTGTGTGTTTGCATTTGTTAAGTTTGCTTTTGCACGCTTAAAAAGTACTACAATTATTGTTGTTGTTTATTTTTATCATGACCATTTTGTTTATTTTGGTGGTGGCCATGTGGCTTTCTTGAGACCTCAGCTCAGGAGGATGTTTTGACCAATTAGATTAGGCAGATGATGAGTAAAGTTATCTCCTTACCACCAACAAACAGCGCAGGACAGACCCCTAGAAAAATGAGGCATGTCTACAACAACGAACTGCTGGATGTCTACTGCTCTCAGTGCTGTAAGAAAATCAGTCTGCTGAACGATTTGGAAGCCAGGCTGAAGAATCTGAAGGCCAACAGGTGAGCAGGCATTGGCCCCCAAGGGGATTTCTGGCTTCTCTGGAGCCAGCTGTGACCTGAAGAAATGTGAAGGAAAGAAATTCCTTCATTCCATTGGGCTCTCTCCCTGACCCTGGGCCTGGATAGGGGTGGTGTTTGCCCGGCCAGCAGGTCAGCCGGGTCCCTCCGGTGAGTCTGGAGAGGGGGATTTGTTAGGCAGAGCATGGGCTCCGAGGTCAGATGACTTTCATTTGAATCCCAGCGTTGCTGTGTGCTCTTGGGCAAATCACGCATTTCTTCTGTAAAATGAGGGGATTGGCTTAGAAGCCCTCTGAGATCCCTTCCAGTACAAAATCTGCAATCCTCTAACCTGCTGAGGAACAGATTCTTGGGATCTGTAAGTAGCTGAGGGCCTGAACCGGCTCTGGTTGACCAGGGAGAAAGTTGGGACAAGCCTTTGCTGTGCTGAGATGAGAAGGGAATGGCCAGGCACAGGCTTGGAGGTGGGAAAACCCAGGGGACAGTTCACAGAGGAGCAAATACAATCTGATTTTATGCAGAATAACCAGGGAAGGGAGCTTCCCCTACCTCCCTGTGTTGTTTTAAGACTTAAACAAGATATCTGTGAGGCACCTTTTCCCCCTCCCTGAGCCTTGATCTTGAATGGGATTGATGCTATGCTGTGTTCTGTTTTGCATTAAGACCAAGGCTAGTCTCAGTGATTTCTTCTTTCCTCTCCTCTAGCCCCAATCGGAAGATCTCTAGCACAGCATTTGGACGGTAAGACCCTATCTGCCTTTTGTGGGTTTCTCTGGGATTGAGTTACTATTTTGTTTCACTTATCTGTGTGACTTCCAGGCAGCCCCTCTTCCCTCCCCTGACTTCTGTGCCCCATCCTCGGGGCAGCGTCTCCGGACTCTTTAACAGTTGATGTTAAGTGATGGCAAGTGTCACTATCCGACAGAAGTTTGTCCCTCTCTTTCCTGACAGCTGCACAAAAAACCAGCTTTGATTCAGTTCCCCCAGACTAGAAGAGCCCTGAGTGAGAAAACTCAGCCATGTGAATGTTGACACTTGGCCAGAAATATCACAAACTCCGAGTGTGGCCCTGTGGGGTGGGTTACATAGTCCGTGCCCTCAAGGGGCTTACGTGTTTGTGTTGTCTCTTTTAAAGTATGAAGTTAGTTTTGGTTTATTTGCTTAAGTAAATTTTTATTGGTATAATTTTTTTTATAACCCCAACATATCCTTTCCCAGGGGAGTTTTCCATTACAACCAAAGAATTTAAAGAGAATAGTGTTCCCTTAATAGATGATTGCCTTCCATTCCCCTGCCTACACAGGCTGGTTCTTTTATGCCATCCATTTGGCCTTTCTGAAGGAGTCTTTTTTTCATCCTGATGGTAGGCTTATGATATGGGGGAGGGAGCAGTGTGTTTGAAACATTGACCACCCTGTGAACCTTTGTCAGTAGAAGGACCTTTCTGTCCCTCCATCTCCTCATATGTCAAAATGAGGACTTTGAGCAAGAAACCCATTAAGGTTCCCACCACCTCTAAATCTATGATCTCTGGTTAAGGGATCCTAAGCTGTACTGACATCAATACAGCTTGGGATGCTAAACGTGGAGGGTCTTTTGAGGTCCCTTAGTCTAATTGGGTTCATAAAGGTATGAGGAAAGGAAGAGTAGCTTCCAGGAATGGGACCATGGTCTGCTCATTGGATTGGTGGCTCCAGACCTCCATGGCTATATCCATCAAAGTATTGGGTTTACCAGGGACAGCTCGGTGGCACAGTGAATAGAGCAGCAGCCCTGGAATCTGGAGGACCTGGGTTCCAGTTTGGCCTCAGACACTTGACAATAGCTGTCTGACCCTAGGCGAGTCACTTAACCACAATTAAGTCACCAAAAAGAAAAGTATTGGGTATGCCCCCTGATTCCCCCCCCCCCCCCCCATAGCAGGGGTTGGCTACCCCATCAGGATGGGAAGCTTTCTGGGCACATAACAGCCATCATGAATCTCATGGATGAACTGTAAGCTGGGCATAGAGGTAGTGTGGAGCAGTAGATGGAGAGCTTGCCTCAGGACCAGGAGAACATGAGTTCAAGACGTGGCTCAGGGACCTTGGACAAGTGCCTAATGTCTCAGTGCCTCTGACAACTCTAAGACCAGGGAGTTTTAGAGGTGGTGCTGCTGGGCACTGGTAGGGGATGTTTCCTTGCCAAGTAGCTTCCTAAATTGAAGAAATCAGGCCCTAATTATGGTAAACCCTAATGAGACACAGAAGACCAAAGCAATTCCTGCCCTCAAGAAGCTTCCATTTTGATATTCACAGACAACTCATGCACAGCAGCAATTTCAGCAGTAGTAACGGCAGCACCGAGGACCTGTTCCGGGACAGCATTGACTCCTGTGATAATGACCTCACAGAGAAGGTGAGGGCAAGCTGGGCATTCCATCTGCACCCTTGTTTCTCACTGGGCATTGGGGGTTTACGAAGAGAAGCTGAACTGTTTACATTGAGGAATGAGGCGGGACATGAAAGGAGCAACAGATGTTGTAACAGTGTATCCCACTAGAAGCCCCAGGGCACTGCTATAAGTCCATGGGGAAGTCAAAATTTATTAAGTACCTACTGTGTATTTGACTGGGAGGCAGGTAAGGAGGTATGCATATATGTATGCACACCTGCACAGCCCTGCAGTGGGGACCTGTGATCCTCCTGCATTTTTGAGCCACGCACAAGCCTTAGATGCCCACTCCAACTTCTTCCTGTTGTGTATAGGTGAGCTTCCTGGAGAAAAAGGTGACCGAGCTGGAGAATGACAGCCTGACCAACGGAGACCTGAAGAGCAAATTAAAACAAGAGAACATGCAGCTTGTCCACAGGTATGGACACACCCACTCTTCCTGGGAAAGGGGCAGGCTGGATGCTGTGCTGCTGGAGACAAGGCTAGGGATGGAGAAGGGAGCATGTGGGCTGCTGGGGAAGTCAAGGTCTGGACAGTTCCCCCCAGTCACTGAGGGGTTATAACAAGAGGATGGTGGGTAGAACATTGATGGCAGGAGACCCGTGTGACCCCATTGGCTGTCTCTCTACAGGGTGCATGAGCTGGAAGAGATCATGAAAGACCAGGAAACGACGGCGGAGCAGACCCTGGAGGAGGAGATCAGACGACATCGGGAGCTGTTCAGTAAACTCGAGAAGGAGAAGGGCACTGAGATCGAGCTGCTAAACACAAGGTGTGTGTCTCTCACTCTCCAGGTTTCAGTGAATCTATGGCCTGGCAGTGCCACGGACGATATTTTGAATATCAGATGAAAATAATAATACCACTGATACGGCGATTAAAGACTTTACACCCATTTGACCTCACAATGACCTGGTGAGGTCGGTACCATATGTATTTAGCTCCATTTTACAGATGAGAAGACTGAGACTTTGGAGCTTACATTCTATTTGTGATAAGAATGCCTAGAAGAACTTAAAACCCTTTTACATCTGTGATCCAGTGAATCCTCGCCCCGTCCCTGTAAGTTAAGAAGAAACAGATAGTATTCTCATTTTAGAGCTTGGGAAAGGACTTTCTCAGGGACACCCAGGCACATTAGGGGCAGAGCCCATGTGATTCTCTCCTCACTCCCAACCCAGGGCTTTCTCTACTGCTGAACTTGGTTATATAGATGGAGCCCAAGGACCTAAAAGAAACCAGAGGCAGATTTAAATCAGGAAAATGTGTCTGCAGGGCCGGTGGGGTGTCTTTTAACCTTCCCTTCCTCCTGATCCAGGGACACCGGCCCCCTGGCTCTTCCACCAACAAGACCCGCCATCTCTTGGCTTGGGGCACTCCCTCTTCCAAACTGACTGCTTCCCTGACTCCCCGACTTCCTTCAAGTCCTAACTAAAACCCCACCTCCTACAGGATGCCTTCCTCAGCCCCTCTTAATTCCAGTGGCTTCCCTCTGCTAAATATCTCCGATTTAGCCTGTGTAGAGCTTGCTTTTTGTGTGTTGGTTTTCATGTTGTCTCCTCTATTAAATTGTAAACTCCTTGAGGGCAGGGACTGACTTTTGCCTCTTTTTGTATCCCTAGTGCTTAGCACAGTGCTTGGCACATAGTAGGTGCTTAATAAATGTTTATTAGCTTGAGAATAGCATGGGATGTTAGATTTAAAACTATGTGGGACCTTGGAGGACATTTAGTCTGATTCCCTTGTTTTTCAGATGAGGAAACCGAGGCTCAGGGAGAGCCTGGTGACTTGCCCCAGGTCACGTGTCTAATAAGTGTGTGTGTGTGTGGATTTGAACTCAGCTCTTCCTGGCACAAAGTCCAACACTATGGCATGCTGCTTCTCAGGTCCATGGCACTCTCACTGGGAAGGGAATTGAGAGCCCTGGACCTGAGTTCAAATCCTGCCTCAGACACTCATTAGTTGTATTGCTCTGAGCAAGTCAGATAACCCCTCTGCCTGCCTCAATCTCCTCATCTGTAGAACAAGGATGGTAATCTTTATATTCCTTCCCTTTATGGTTTGTTGAGGACAGGCCTTCTTGGAGGGGGACCTTGAGTGAGTCTTCTCCATTCCCTGGGTTTTCATTTCCTCACGTTTCAGATCAGGGAGCCGGGGCCGGATGTCCCCCAAGACTGATGTTCCGTGGTTCCCAGGTGGGGTATTAGGAGAGCAGACCTTCTGAAGAGGGTTGGCAGTCCACTGGGACTCCAGCTCTGGGGGCTGGCTTTGATGCTGAAAAGAGCAGGCTTCAGTCTTCTGCACAAAGGGTGGTCTGGAGTCTCTTTTCTGTCCTCCCGTACTCCTCTGGCCTCCAAAGCTTGTCCGGCCCCAGGGCGGCCTGATTGATGTCGGCAAAGACCACCTCGGCCCTTCCAGACCTGCGCCTGCTTTAGGGACGCCAGGCAGAGTGGCCAGCATCCAGGGCCAGGGCTGCTTCCTTATTACTCAAGAGGCGCCCGCTGCCTCGCAAAGATCTTCCCGTTAGAATCCCCAGGCCTGGGTTCAAACCGTGACCCTGAGCGAGGATCCTGCTGCAGAAATCGCTTTTAGAAATTATTCTGGTGCTTTTAACAGCATGGTGGTGTGGGCTTCATTTAAAAGTGGCCGTAGCCCAAGGAATGCCTCAAAACACCCTTGAAAATTTAGTATTTTTTTAGTGAACACAAGTATTTTTCTCACTGTCACCCCAGCCTCTCTCCCCTTGAAAAAGAAAAACAAAATTCTTGTAAAACAAAGAAATCTACATAGTTGAACAGAACAAATTCCATGCCCATCTCTGTCGGGAGGTGGGAAGCATGTTTTACAAGGAGACCGCTGGAGTCATGGTGGGCTCATTCCATTGGTCAGAGGAATTCAGGCTCTCCAAATAGTTTCAGTTGAAAAGAACTTTAAAGTAATTGTGGTCATACTCAGTTCTGACCATACCAAAAGTTAAAAACAATGGTGTTCCTACCAAGAAGTATCCTTTTAAGGTGATGTGGTCACATCATGTGCAGAGTTAAATGGTTTTTTAAGTCAAATTTCTTTTGCAAACAAGGAAATAAAATTGAGTATATGTATGTATATATATATGTATATATTTGTATGTATGTGTATATATATAATTTGAGTATATAAATACAAAAAGTTAATACTTTTTTTTAAATTCTCAATTACATGTAAACAAAAAGTTTTAACATTTTAAAAACAAATTTAGAGTCCCAAATTCTCTCCCTCCCTCCCTTTCCTTCCCCCTCCTTGAGAAGGCAGGCAATTTGATACGGGTTAATCATATGCATTCATGCAAATCATTTCCATATTAGCCATGTTGCAGACCAAAAAAATCCCAAGAATAATAATGTAAAAAAAGAGTTAATGCTTTGTTGATGAAAAAACCACATGACCTTGGCATGGCACAGTGGAACAAACATTGCCTTTAGAGTGGAGGACCTGGGTTTAAATCCCAACTCTGATGAGTCCTAGCTAAGTGAAGCTTCATGAGTCACTGGTTAAGTGACTCCCACAGCATCACGCAGCTAGGAAGAAGTGTCTGAAGTGGGATTCAAACCCAGGTCTTTCTGACTAAATCCAGCTCTCCATCCACTGGGTCCTGCCGTAACACCTCTGGGGAAACAGTTATGGTGGACCAGGATTTCCCGTTAGAGAGTGGCATCTCTCCCATGTCCCCCAGGCGTCGAGTGCAGATTGTCCCCCTGGGGACTAGTGGGTTTGTTTATTTACTTTAACAATCCAGATCCTATTTTTAATTTCCACTCTGGAGGCTGGTTTCTAAGAGTTCCTCTTATGTTCTTAATCCCACAGTGGGCCCCCTCATACCTGGCTGCTCCCTCCTGTCCTCTTGGTAGGAGGCAGTGATGCCCAGGAGAGCTCTGAACTGAGAACAGGAGGCTGTGGCGTTGGTCCCAGCGTGGCTACGGACTCGCTGTGTGGCTGTGGGCAGAGAACCTCCCCTCTCTGGGCTGTGGCTGCTGCTTTTATTTAATGAGTAGGGACGTCGATGATATCTTGTCCACATTCTAGGGTTTGATGTGCAGACCTATCAACCCATCTGTCACAGGAGTATTGGCATGAAAGTGGTGAGGGTCCTTGGGTCATCTAAGGCAACTCTCTCATCTTCCATTGGAGGCCCAGATAGGGAAAGTCACTTTTCTGAGGTTGCAGAGGTCGTAAGCATGAAAGGCAGGATTTGAACCTGGGTCAACCAGCTCTGAAGCTGATACTCTTTTCCTTGAGCACGTCTCCAGAGCAGTCTGGTCTACTGTTTGGCAGGTGGTAGGGAGAGGGCGAGGGTAGCAAAAAGAGGAGGCAGAAAGGTGGAGGAGAGAAGCCAGCAGCAGGTGCATCGGACGTTGGACCCCAGGGAGTGGAAGGAAGCCTTCTCTCCTACCTGACCTTCCCTTCCGGCCCTGATAACAACAACATTTATGTAGCATCTACTAAATTCTGGGTTCCAGCTAAAGTAAGGCGTTCAGATTGACAAGAATGTAGAATGCACAAAAGGAGCGATGCAATGTCAGCCTGGGACGGTTGGCCGGAATCCAGTTAGTTGTGAAGGTCTTTGCCCGTGAATATCCCCATTTTACAGATGAGGTGTTGTTATTATTCTGTTACTTCAGTCTTGTCTAACTCTTTATGACCCTATTTGGGGTTTTCTTGGCAGAGATACTGGAGTGGTTTGCCATTTCCTTCTCCAGCCCATTTTACAGACAAGGAAACTGAGGCAAACTGGGTTAAGTGACTTGCCTAGGGTCATGTAGCTAGTAAGTGTCCAAGGCCAGATTTGAACTTGGGTCTTCCTGACTCCAGGCCCTACACTCTTACCCACTGGGCCATCTGGCGACCCTTCTGTGCTAAGTGCTTTACAATTATTAACTCATCTCAGCCTCACAGTAACCCTGGGAGGTAAGTGCTGTTATTAGGCCCATTTTACTGATGAGGAAGCATCAGTAAATGCAAATAGAGGCAAATAAAGGTTAAGTGACAGCTAGTAAGTGTAAGAGGCCAGATTTAAATTCAGGTCTTCCTGACTCCAGGCCCGTTGCTCTATCCACTGAGCTACCTAGCTGCCCCTGAATTTCTCTTGTACTGCTGTGACCTACAGTTGTGGCCATGGCGTTGGTTGTGTTCGGAGCAGCAGCTGCTGAGGAGAAGAGGGGGAATTGAAATCTGAGAGGAAATGCCCTACAGGAGTCATGGCAGCCAATATGGCGGTCAGGCTCTGACTCTATTTGAAGGTCAAAATCTGCTTGTACCTTTCCAAAAGTCACTGAGGACGGATGGAGTTCCAGTAAGAGACCTAGGCCCAGGATCATCTAGAGAATGGAGTGTGTTGAGGGGCTGTGGTGAAAGAGGATTTAGCATGGTCCTTGGCACACTTTGTATTAGGCTTCTTAGCAGGTGCTTCCATAGCTTGCTTATTGACTTGACTTATTACTTACATGACCTTGGGATCTTTGAGACCGAGTTACCTCTTCTGTAAATTAAGGGGTCGGATTCTGGGGTCTCTTCCAGCTCTCATGGGTACATAACCCTGTCTTCCAATAGTGAGTGAGAAACAAACATGGCCTTCTGCCCCTCAGGTTCTCACCCCTCAAGGGATACTCTCTTCCTAAGCCATCCTTCAAAAGGCTTAGCTCACCTACACCTCTTCAGCAAAGGCTTATATGACCACTTTGGCCAAAAAAAAAATCTAACATGATCATTGACTTCACCGAGAAGAAGGTGTGCCGTCTTTGGTGTCAGAGAACCTGGGTTCAGATCATGCATCTGATGCTTATTGCCTGTGTTATCTTGGGCAAGTCATTTACTCTGGCCTCAGTTTCCTCATCTGCAAAATGAGGGGTTAGACTAGACGGCCTACTAGTTTTATAAATCTGTGATCCTAAGAGAGGCCTGTCTTCTAGGAAGAAGGAGGTCATGTTCCCAATGGACTCTGCCCTTATCACAGTCCCATCTAGGCCCACCATTGAAGAAGGATGTTGATAAGCCGAAGCTTATCCCTGGGAGAGCGATCAGGATGTCAGAGGGCAACAATGACCTTCACGGGCCATGAGGGTCATCAGTGGAAGAAGCTGGGGTTGTTCAGCGTGGAGAAGAGAGAACTCAAGGGGAATGTGGGAGATCCTGGAATAAGGGGAATTGAACTCATTTGGCTTGGTCCTAGAATGAAGAACAGTGTGGCAGAATTAGACTGTTAACTACCCAGATGGTAAGTGACAGTCTCCATCACTCCCTGTAGGTCAGTTTCACTAGATTGTCTCCCGAGAACCTAACAGTATTTTGAGCTGGAGGTTGGACATTTGGGGAACCAAGCATCTCTAACAAAAAGTCACCATGTTTAAATATATACAGCCACAGTCACTATAGAGAGAGTTAAATTCAGCCATCTACCGTTTTAATTCAACAGGCATTTAAAAAAACTAGTCTCATGTATGTAGACTGCTGGGGTACTGATACAGAGATTGATTGTGAGACAGAGTTCCTAGCCTTGCTGGAGTTTAATGACCTATGTAATTCCTTTAATACCTCCAGGATCAGTGAGTACACGCTTCACGAGGGCAGATTGTACCTCCTTTTGACAAAACCTGAGTTTAATAAATGGTTGCCCCAGGTTACTGGGGCTTTAAAAAATAAATCTCCCTGGGCCACCTGGGTAATAAACCTGTCAGAATCCAGCGAGGCTGATCCTCTGATGTGGTCTGTCCTGCAAACCTTCGTAGCTTGATTGATACCTGCCAGAGTTGATACTGCTTTTGAGATGCACCAGTGGGGCCTCGGAGGGGAACCCCAAGGAAGGGACATGTTAGGTGAATTGGAGTAATGTAAAATATCTTGTGAAGAAGGCTTCAAATTCAGGGCAAGGACTGAGGCAGGAAAGGGCATTTTCTGCTGGGGGGAGGGGGAGAGGAGAGATGGAGTCAGAGACAGCTTCCTGGAAGGGGTGATTTATTGTAGAAACTGAAAGCAGATGCAGCATTGGAAAATGGTGGCTTTGATTCTGAGAGCCAGATCGTTAAACTTAAAGCCAGGTATTTGCTGTTTTAGGCATTTGGCCTTTTTCAGGAAAGAAGTTATGCTTTGGGTCTAAATTCTGTAGTTGTGAGTCTGTGAGTTAAACCAACATTGGTTTCCTTTTGCCCCCCACTTCCCGCAGGGTACAACAGTTAGAAGAAGTGAACACAGAACTGAGAACCACAGTGGCCCGTCTAAAGTCCCAGGCGGAGAAATTAGATGAGGTGAGACTTTTTTAATTAACAATTTTTTTTTGTTTTTCCATCGCCTTGACTTCCAGATATTTCCCTCTAGGCACTAGTGTTTTGGAAATTATCAGTTGCTTTGTGTGCAGACGAGGCAGGACCTGGTGTGGAGGTGGGTGGGGATGGGTGTAGGGGTCACTTGATTTTAGATTTCTTCCGGGATGGCGGGCAGGCTTCCTTGGATGTTGGCTGGCTCTCTCCCCGTTCCCTTCGGGCATCACTCTCCATTTCCTTCGGTAACAATGTCCCATCTCCAAATGGATGGGGTGGTGGGTGTCTCGGTTATTTCAGGAGCGGCAGCGGATGTCCGACCGGCTGGAAGACACCAGCCTCCGGCTCAAGGACGAGATGGACTTGTACAAGCGGATGATGGACAAGCTGCGGCAGAACCGGATAGAGTACCACAAGGAGCGTGAGGCCACTCAGGAGGTGCGTCACCTGCGTTCAGGATCACAACTCAGCCACCTGGGTTGGAGGCCTGGGCTCCCCAAGAAACTCATTTAGTAGAGACATTGTGGCATAGCGGACTTGGAGTCAGGAAAACTGGGGTTAGAATTCCACCTTAGACACCAGCATTAAGAGGCAGCCTGGGCAAGTCACTTAACCTCTGTTTGCCTCAGTTTCCTCATCTGTAAAACAAGGTCTCTTCCAGCCCTTTATCTGTGATCTAGTCCTAGGAGGTAAGTAGTGTAAGTGTTGTGATTGCCATTTTTCAGGTAAGGAAATTGAGGCTGAGAAGAAATTCAGGCTGTATCCAGCTCTAAATCTGTGAGCCTAGTAATACTGAGTTGCTCATCTTTTGTGGAACATCAGGTCTTAAGTAGCCAGGGACTTGATTTTTGTCTTATGCCCAGTGCTTGATAGAAGGGAACACAGTAGGTGCTTAATAAGTGCTTGTTATACTGAAATGAACTTGACCTGTTTGGGCCCTCGTTCCTGCAGCTCATTGAGGACCTGAGGAAGGAGCTGGAGCACCTTCAGCTTTACAAACTGGACTGTGAGCGGCCTGGGCGGGGACGAAGTTCCTCTTCCAGCATGAGCGAATTCAATGCCAAGGCCCGGGAAATTGAACTGGAACATGAGATCAAGAGGCTCAAGCAGGTGAGTGAGGGAGGGTGGACTCTGGTGGGTGGGGTGGGGGGGGGGGATAAGTGCATCCACTGCCTAACCTTTCCTTCCAAGGTGGAGCAGAAAGAGGAAGCAGCAGCCACACATAGCAGGAGCCAGGTTACTTTCAGTAGCCTGTCTCGAGCCCCCACCAGAGCCTCACACCAGGCAAAGTGAGAGGAAACTAGGTGGATAGATGGAGAGGCAGACAGATGGATGGAGAAATAGCTGGATAGATGGAGAGGTAGGTAGACGGATGAAGAGATGGAGAAATAGATGAAGGGACAGATAGAGGGATAGATAGATAGATGAATAGATGACACTTTATCCAGTCAGGAGGCTTGAGGGCAGAGGCATCCTTAGGGTGGTCAAGGCTGCTGGTAAAGAAGGGGAGAACTGGGAGTTATTATAAAAGAAAAAATGTATAAAAGGAAAGAAGTCCCTGCTTGGCCCTAGGAGTTATATTAAAAATAAAAAAGACTTGAAAGCACTTATAAACTGTTTCTCATAGTAGAGAAAATTAAGAAAAAGGCAAACTGAGTGCTAAGGAACTCAATGAAAGTAAGGACTGGCAGCCACTCACCTTCTTTCTAGATAACTTTAAGGTTTACAAAGTGCTCTAAAGAAAAGCAGTAGGAAAAATAGAAGATTTGGAATTCGAGGACTTGAGTTTGAATCCTGGCCCTTTCACTTAATGGCTCAGTGACCTAGGGCAAGTCACTTCCTCCCTTGGGTTTCTGTTTCCTCCTCCGGCATTGCTGTGACCTCTCAGGCCCCTTTGCATGGGATCCAGCCCCATGAGGTAGGGAGTTCAAGTATATTTATCCCCATTTTTCAGGTGAGGAAACAGAGGCTGAGGGAGATTTCCGTTTGCCCTATAGCTAGTACGTCGCTGAGCTGGGGATTCAAACTTGTCTCTTGGCTTTATGTCCATTGCTGTCCACTGCCCCAGAAACCTCTCTAGATCCCAGCCCAGCCCCTCCATTATAAGGATGAGAAAACTGAGGCTCCAGAACAGGAGTGAGGACAGAGGTGGAGGTGATCTGCCCAAACTCTCGTAGCAGGTTAAGGGCAGATTTGGGCCTAGAATTCAGATCTCGTCACACCTCGATCTAATGTTCTGTCCTGTTTCTGCTTCCCCCATGCCTTTCACTGATGCTGACCAGTGCGTGAGATCATAAGTCTTTACCTGAAAGGGAAATCAGAAGTCAACTAGTCTCTTCCCTTCATTTTAAAGACAAGACCCTGAGAAATGAAGCCGTTTGCCCAGTCATGCAGGTGGTTAAGTGGAAGAATCGGAACTCGAACTCGGGTCTTATGACTCCCAAGTTCAGTATACTTTTCACTGTTCCACTCCAACCTCCTCAGGAGCCTCGCTAAGCCTACAAGTCGCACAGAAGGTGCCAATCTGCACTGGTAGATGGATTTTCCTCACCTGGGACATCCTTATAATAATGTCACAAGTTCAATTTGTAACTCCATCCCTATGTAGGATAATAGGGAGAATAAATCATACAGAGTTTGAATCTAGCCGTGTTATTCTGAGAAGGCAACTTCTCTTAGCCTCAATTTCTTCATCTGTAAAATGGGAGTAATAATAGTAGCTAAACCTCCTAGGGTAGTTGTCAGGGTCACGTTAGGTAGGGTATGTAAAATGCTTTGTAAACTTCCAAGTTCTATATAAAAGTTGTTATATGGTGGTGGTGTTCTTAACTATCACACACAGTATTATGTGATTTTGAAAAAGAAGCAACATGGTGGTATGGTAGATAGGGAGCTGGCCTCAAGTTAGAAATATCTGGGTTCAAATCCTGCCTGTGACCCAGGGCGAAACTGTCTCCGAGCTCAGTTACTCATCCGTAAAACAAAGGGGTTGGATTAGTTGGGGTCCAGGTTGCTGAGATCCATACAGGAGACATCTGCCTTGGAATCCCACCTCTGACACTTCCCTCCCGAGCCTCAGTTTCCCCATCTGTAAAATGTTGTGCCTTCCTGAGATCTCGATTGTGAGGATCAGATGAGGTGAAATACAGTGGTCTCCCGGTAAACGCCGAAGAGCCGGATAAATCGGAGTGGTGACTGGCGCAGAGTATGTCCACGTTGGTCAGGCCACAGGTTCTGCGCTTTCCAGCACAGGGATTCTTCACCTGGAGTCCTTGACCTTGGATGGGAAAACAATGGCCTCCTTATTTTCACTAGCCTGTAACTGAAATTTATATTTTCTTCATTATGGGTTGGGGCAGCAGACGTGGTTCTGAGAAGGGCTCCCCCGGCTTCACCGGACTGCTGCAGGCATCCAAGGCGCAGTAACAACAAAGAGCCCCTGTTCTGGAGAGAGTCTGGTGGGGAGGCCAGAAGTACAGTTCCATGAGTCTTCTGTCTTTGCGCAGATGGTGTTTTCAGATGACTTCCCCAAAGCACAGCTGGGCACGTTTCCATGGTGTGCTGGGCACGTTCCTTGGCTTAAGCCTCTCCTCTCTGCCTCTGGACACAACCCTTCCCACTCCATGTCATTATGCTGAGCCAGGCAGGGCCCCTGGATCAAAAACTCACTCCACCTGTGCTGAGGCAGCAGCAGAGTAAGGAGAGAGGCCAGTAGTAGCCACTCTATGTCAGAAGCAGGTTCAGACCCTGGGCTTCTTGACTTTAAGGCTGGTGCTGTAGCCATCATGCCATGTGACATATGCTTTCACTTCCCAGGCAAGTGCCTCGACCCTGGCTGGAATCCAGTATGCCCATTCCCTTATAGAAGCTCCCTGGGAGCAGGGACTATTTCTCTCTGATCTCTGTATTATCAGTACCTAGAACGGCACATAGTAGGTGCTTTATGAAATATTGCTTGGTTGAAGGTTACCCCTTCCCAATAGAATATAAACTTCTTGAGGGCAGGGACTTTTCCCCTTTGGTCTCTGTATTATCAGTGCCTGGCATGGCACATAGTAGGTGCTTTATGAAATGTTGATTGGTGGAAGGTTACCCCTTCCCAATAGAATGTAAACTTGAGGGCAGGGACTTTTCCCCTTTGATCTCTGTATTATCAGTGCCTAGCATGGCACATAGTAGGTGCTTTATGAAATACTCTTTGGTTGGTTAATTGAAAGTCACCTTCCTCTCAGTAGACTGTAAACTCCTTGCGGGCAGGGACTTTCATTTCAGTCTACATCCCAAGCCCCAGCTCAGTATCTGATGCATAGTAGGTGCTTACCACTTGTTGATTGATCGACTGATGGCCTCTAAATCTTTTTTTCTTTTTTAATAGGAAAACCAGAAGCTCCGAGATCAGAACGATGACCTGAATGGGCAGATTTTAAGTCTCAGTCTTTATGAAGCAAAAAATCTCTTTGCCACTCAGACCAAGGCCCAGTCTTTGGCAGCAGAGATCGACTCGGCCTCCCGGGATGAGGTGAGGACAGGCTCAGTCCCTGAGTAGCCCAGTGCTTCCCACTGGGTCCTTAAGAAAGGCATTTCTTTTTTTTTTTGTTTTTTGTTTTTGGTTTGTGTTTTTTTTTGTTTTGTTTTGTTTTCGGTTTTTTTCAGGCATTTGGGGTTAAGTGACTTGCCCAGGGTCACACAGCTAGTAAGTGTCAAGTCTGAGGCCAGATTTGAACTCAGGTATTCCTGACTTCAGGGCCAGTGCTCTATCCACTGCACCACCTAGCTGCTCCGGAAAGGCTTTTCTTTAAAAAGAAAAGAAAAAAGCATTTCTAGGTGACCCATGAACCCCTGGACGTGTGTTAGTGCTGTGATTCTGATCTAAGAAACTCTCTTGTTCCTGCAAGGGGCCAGTACTGGCAGATACCACACTTTGCCAAGAAAACTCAAGTTAAAGAGATTCTGAGGCACAGAGTTTTAGAATTAGAGCTGGAAGGGACTTTAGAAGTCATCTTGAACCCCTTCGTCTTACAGGTGAGGAAACTGAGGCCTAGAGAGATTCATAGGACGATAGATTTTAGATTAAAGAGACCTCAGGGACCTTCTTTTTTTCTCTTTTTGGCTAGGCAGTGGGGTTAAGTGACTTGCCCAGGGTGACACAGCTACTAAGGGTCAAGTGTCTGAGACCGGATTTGAACTCAGGTCCTCCTGACTCCAGGGCCAGTGCTGTATCCACTGCACCACCTAGCTGCCCCAACTTAGAGGCCTTCTTGTCCAAACCCTTCCTTTTTAGAGATGGAGAAACAGGCTGGGAGAAGCTAAGGACTTGCCCAAGGTCACACAGTTAGAAAGTGTCAGAGGTGGGATTTGAACCCAGATGCTCCTGTCTCCAAGTCAGCACCACAGTATATTTAACCTGAGTTTTGATAAATAACCACAGGAATTCTGTCTCTACCAGTCTGCTCTATAGCCTAGAAAGTTACTGCCTTCTCTAAATGCTATTCTATTCCTCTTTACCCTACTCCTGATACCTCAAAGTTTTTTTATAAATGCATTCTTCTTTTTTTTTTTTTTGGCTAGGCAGTGGGGTTAAGTGACTTGCCCAGGGCCACACAGCTAGTAAGTGTTATGTGTCTGAGGCCAGATTTGAACTCAGGTCCTCCTGAATCCAGGGCCGGTGCACTCTCCACTGTGCCACCTAACTGCCCCCTGCATTCTTCTTTGTAGTGTTGATTCAGAGTTGGATTTTTTTCTTTTACCCTTTGCCTAGGGAGGGGCTGAAACAACCATCCTCATAAGTTTTGCATCTAAGTAATAATAATTTATTAAGATAATAATAATTAATAATTGCAATGTTTTGGAAATTAATTTTTATTTAAAGATATCTTTTGTTTTGCATCACTGACATCCCTTTCCAGGGATTTTTCTTCCTCTCCCCTAAAACTGAAAAACAAGAGGTAGGCCTCTCCCTACTGGGCCCGTATACTAAACTTGCCATGTCTTGTGGCCCTGGGCAACTCACTTAGTCTCACTGACCCTGTTTGCTCATCTGTGAAATGGAAGGATTAGACCAGATGGCCTTTGAGGTGCTTTCTAGCTCTAAATTTGCTTCCTCAGGCCCCTAAATTGGGGGCCAGTAGCATATTCCCAGCCCCAGCAATGCTGCTTGATGTCACAGCAATGATCCATTCAAGTCTAGGAACATTTTTAGGTTCCTGTTCTTTTCTTTTCTTTTCTTTTCTTTTCTTTTCTTTTCTTTTCTTTTCTTTTTCTTTTTGGTGAGGCAGTCGGGGTTATGTGACTTGCCCAAGGTCACACAGCTAGTAAGTGTTAAGTGTCTGAGTCTGGATTTGAACTCAGGTCCTCCCAACTCCAAGGCCAGAGCTGTCTTCACTGCGCCATCTAGCTGCCCCCATTTTTAGGTTCCTGAAGTAGAATACTTACCCAAAACCACGTGTTTCAGTTTTTAACATAAGAAGACTTTTGACTCCTTTCCCCAAGTTAAAAGGAAACTTCATCCCACCCAGTCAGTCCATTGTGGCTCATACGCAGCTTAATTTTGCTTCAGCTGAGGTCGGTCTGCTTGTGCCAGTCAGAACAGGGGAAGGTCCTTAGCTTGGCTCGCAGAAGGCTGCGTTTTCACTGGGCATCTCTTATCTGTCTCTATCAGCTTATGGAAGCCCTCAAAGAACAGGAGGAGATCAACTACCGACTGAGACAGTATATGGACAAGATCATTCTCGCCATCCTGGACCACAACCCATCAATCCTGGAGATCAAAAATTGAAAGCGGATGTCAGGGTCGAGGTGGGAGTGGGACCAAGGAAGAGGTTGGGAGAGCAGCAGCCATCCGATACTTTCTGCACATGTCACTGGATTTAAGAGTCACTAATACTGTAAATGTCTATACATACAGCTATATGTGTGTATGTGTGTGTGTAATTGGGTATGAAAGAAAATGAGTGTGTATGAATGTTGATAATGAGATGGCGTGCGGTTGATCCTTTAGTCACAAAGGTCTGCTTTGGTTAGCTTTTCATGCACTTTGTTGTACCTTTGCAGGAAAGAGGGTTGGCAGAGGGGATAGGAGGAGATTATTATTTTAATAACAGTATAACTGGAAACTTGTGTTCTAGATATTGGATGAAATGACTACCTCTGGTTGTAAGGGTTTTTTTTAAAAAAGATCTATCTCTATTGTTAGAGGTGCCCCCTCACCTCCTACAGAATGGAGAACAAAACAATGACTTTTTCAGTAACTTGAATACCTAGCAGCCTTGTGATTAGGATTAGTTTGATATCATTCTCCCTTTGCCTTCACCGGTGGCACGTCCTGCCAGGGCACAAATATTTGGGCCAGGAAGAGAAATTGGTCTTTTAGTAGAAAATCATGGAGGAGAAAGTCACTGCTTCAGATCTTTGGTGTGTTTGGGGGTAGAAGGTTTATGACTACCATAATCCCTTGCTGGCAAAGAATGGTTTGTCACTTAATGTCTACCTCCTCCATTTCACACACCATTCATAATGACTAGTGGCTGATTTCTAGGGTGGTAAATGAATGGTTTTGGGTCTCATGAGCATTAAGCAGCTGTTTCTACAACTTAACCCCAGTTTTCAGGGGACTTAGAATTCAAGCTGTTTAACTTCTTTCTGGGTGGACTCTTGGCCTTTATTTTTTAAGGTTTCCCTTGCACTCCTACATTCCTACTACCTCCCCCTTTGTTTCTGTTTCTGTGTGTGTGTGTGTGTGTGTGTGTGTGTGTGTGTTGTGTATATGTGAGTGTATCTTGGTTGTTTATTTAAAAAAATGAAGATACTTAAATTTGTGTTTGGTAGGGAATAGATGTTTGGAAAGAGTAAGGGATGGTGAAGGTGTAAGTCACTCATAGTTGAACTGAAGGCTCTTTTGGGGGTGAGAAGGGTTTTATTCCCAGCAGTTTTCATCCACACCATCACCTTCCATCCCTGGACATCTGAATGGACGGCATCTAGATCTGGAAGCCCATGGGCCATGTCTGTGTGGGGGCTGAAACTAACATCCTCAGAGGTTTTGGATCTAACCAAGAGGAGCTTGCTTACCATTATTTTTAAGTCCCCCCCCCAATATGACCTGGCATGATGATGTCTGTCTGTAATCCCAGCTACCTAGGAGGCAAAGCCTGGCAGAGTTGAGCTGGGGAGTTCTGAGCTGCAGGGTGCTAAGTCAATCGCTTGTCTGCATCACACTTGGCATAAATATAGCGAGCCTCTAGGACTGAGGGCCACCAGCCTCCCTAAGGAAGGGCAAACTGGCCCAAGTGAGAAGCTGAGTTGGTTATCGATAAAATCAGCAGTAGGACTGAGCGTTTAAGTAGCCACTGCCCTTCCAACCCAGACTAGACAGAAAAGACCCATTTTCTTTAAGCCCTACTAGATGTACCTAGCACAATCCTGAAGCCAGGCTGACTCCTCTTGGGATGTGGGGTTTTGCCATCAAAGGAGTTGGATACAAAGTCAGGGTCCTGCACTCTGCTAGGATGTGAAGCTCTTTTGTTCTGAATATTCAAACAGCCCTTTGTTACCTGCACTGAAGAGAAAGAGTGAGGTTGTCTGTGGGACATGACTGGAATAGCCCGGGAGAACTCGGATTGACTTTCATCATTCTCCCAGCACTTGGTGGGGGATTCACACTAAGAGTCTTTTATCTACACTCACCTAGAAACTGAGCTCTTTGACAGTTGGCAACGTCTTCTCCCCCATCCCTAAAATTTTCATATTCGTCTTGAATTTTTTTATCCCTTTGTAATGCATTTCCCCATTTACCTTAATCTAATTAATATATATATGTCATATATATATATATGTATTATATAATATATATGTGTGTGTGTGTATATATATATATGTATATCTTTATTTTTTTCCCTTCAGTTTCTTGTTTTCTTCAGCACTGACATGTGAAAAGGAATGTCTGGGCATGTTGGAAAAGGGCTTGTGGAAGGATTGTAATGAGACTGAGAGGGAGCCATCATGGGAGCAAGGAAAAAAATGGAGTGGGAATGTTTTTTTTCTTATCCCTAATTTAAAAATCTGGTCTGTAAGAGCAGTTATAAGAGCTGGACTTTGTCCTGACACAGGATCTTGGAAGTTTTGTAAGCTGAGTTTTCCCCTAACAGGGAAGACTGACAAAATGCAACTTTTGTTTTATTTAGGGAATAATGAATTAGTCAGCCTCCAACACATACAGGCCTTGTGATCTTGGGCAAATGTCCAGGAGACTCTTGAAGACTGAAGTTACTGAGTAGGCACCTTTCTGCATTGGTAGAGGGAGTTTTGTCACCTGGAGTTCCCCATAGCAGTGACATCATAGATCCATTCCAGAAAGAATTAGCGGGCAGATAAATGGTGCACTGGCCCTGGAGTCAGGAGGACCTGAGTTCAGTTCTGGCTTTAGACACTTGACATTTGCTAGCTGTGTGACCCTGGGCAAGTCACTCAACCCTGATTGACTCACTCCAAAAAAAAAGCCACTCAAATCATATTGACCTGTTAATAGCCTGTGGTCGATCAGTCTTCTGAGGATTCTCAAAGTCCTCAGCAAAGTCATTTCCATAGGTCCACTTGAGCATGGGGTACTCCATGGGAAATCCAGTAATGGAATGGGTATGAAGAGAAGGTTAGATGGTGAGGGGAGAGGATCTGGGAAAAGGAAAATGGAATGAATGAACTGGAAAAGGCAAGGGAAAAAAATCAGAAAGCAAGTGGGGGCGGAGAGGCAGAAATTCAAGAAACAAAACTCCAGGGATGGCAATCATATTTGAATTCAGCAGCAAAATGGAATTAAGTATGTTTTAAGCAAATGAAAGAAAAGGAGGCCAAGAACCCTAGCACATTCAGGCCTACCTAGTGATCTCCCATAGAAAGAGATTAAGAATAGAAGGTTTCAGAAAAATGTCAGTTGACGTATGTTTTTTCTTTTTGTGTTTGTTTTTTGTCCCAAGTCCACTGCCTAAGGGGGGATGCCTAGAAAAATTGTCAGGTGCCTGAGGAGGAATTTGTACCTGGTGCAAAGGAGATCCAGCCTTGTAAACAAACAAGCAAACCAGCTTTCTTGGCCATCTGTCTTTTAGGAGGCACCTGGGCAAGTCTAGTGTTCTTAGCTGTTCCTTCTTTCCCAGGTAGCATCAGGTGCTGCTTTCTCTGGGTCGGTGGCTGTTTGCACAGCTGTTCAAAGCAAATGTTCTTGACATCAGAGAGGCCAAACACTGGTGAGGTTCTCTTTCTCTCTCAACATCTGATTTAAAGGATCAAGTCTTATGTAACACTTACTTAAAGTTAAGTTCCGTGTAGGTGTTTTAATATATGTTTTTTTAATTTTTAAAATCAATTATTGAGGTCTTTTAAAAAATACTTTTAAAGTTTGTCGGAATCAGTGGTAATTAAGCCAGCCTGCTTCATTGAGCCCAGTGGACCAACAAGTCTTGTCTAAACAGTGAACCTTGAGGCAACTGTGGAAGGTGTGTGTGTGTGTGTGTGTGTGTGTGTGTTTGAGAGAGAAAGAGAGAAAGTATGTGTGGAGGGAGAAGGGAAATGAAAGAAAGAAATCAGCTGGCATTTTATCTGTGATGATGATGCATCTTTTTCTTTTCCTTTGAGTCAAGAGGTCCAATCTTTTTGTTTAGTGGGGACTTATTACCTCCATATCTACCTTAAGACCTTTCTTCCTGCTGCTACATCCTCCACGTCTATTTCTTTTAGATGAAGTTTTGGGGCAAAAATTAAAGACTGCCATTCCAGATGGAAATGGATAAAATTATAGTCTTAGAACTGGGAGGGACCTTTGGAAGGACATCCAGTCCAACCCCCTCATTTTACAGATGAGGAAACTGAGGCACTAAAGAGAGGACGTGACGTGCCCAAAGTCACACAGCTAGAAAGTGTTAAAGGCAGTCTGTGAAAAAATTCCCTGGTTATCAGCCCTTCGGTTCGATTGGCTTTTGTATGGAATGTGATGGAAAGCAAGAATTAAGATAGCATAGTGAAAACATGGAAAGAAATCAACTTCTGTTGTTGTATGGGTCCTATTTTTTCATGAGTATTAGAAAGTTGTGGGGAAAACAAATGAGACTTTACAGTTTCCTGAGGGGAGAGGTTTGAATGGGAAAGCTTCTGTAGCCTCTTCCCATTCCTGGTCTAGGATTCTGTTACTGTACTCCATTCCATGCTGGATACCTGGCAGGGAGGCAGGTGGGATGTGAGGAGGCAGGAAGTAGCATACTGCACCTAATGATGATGATGTGATGTTACCTAGCTAAGTTTTGCAAAGTGCTTTATGTATATTATTAAATTTGACCCTCACAAAACACCCTGTGGGGTAGATGCTATTACCAATACCATTTAACAGATGAGGAAGTTGAGGCCCAGAGAAATTTAGAAACTTTATAGAGGTCACAAAGCTAGTTAAGTATCCAAGGCAGGACTTGAACCCACATTTCCCTAATTCCAAGTTTAGCACTCTAGCCACAAGCAGCTCAGCCACTCATCTTTCTGAGTGACCCAGGGAAAGTCATTTCTCTGGGCCTTTCTTCCTCAAGGAAAAAGGTGTGTGTGTGTGAGGGGGAGGGCACCAGATTAACAAATCAACAAGCATATGTGCACACCATGTTAAGAGGCTGAGAATGGATACAAAGACAAAAGTGAAACTGTTTCTACTCTTAGGGAGTTTACTTTCTAATTGAGGAGGTTTAGGTCAGTTTCTTACTGAGAGTTCCCTTTCCTCCCTTGCTTCAGCATAAAGGCACCAATGGGGCTTCTCCCCCTGGTGGTTAGAGAGTGAGTTGTTCACAGGCCCTACAGCTGGTCTCCATTAAATGCCAGCAGCCCCCTCTTTGAGCCCAGATGTGGCTTAATCCCCGGAGAGATGGAATTCAAGCCTGATAGAGTAAAGGCACCCCTCTTTTTCCCTCTGGATCAGCAGGCAGCTTTGAAGAAGTGCATAATTGCCTTTACCTTCACTGAAGGAAATGTATATCCAGTCTGCCTCTTACAGGCACCTGCCCAACTGTAGGAGTTGAGTGATGGGAGTTCTCTGCATGGACTCCCTCCCCTTCCAGTATCAATCCCAGATGATCTTTGGGTGGTCTTTACAATCCATTTTTGACAGGGGCATTGTAGTATAGGGCAGGTCTTTATAACCTGGGATCAAAAGACTGCTCCCCTCCAGTGATATCAAGGAATCAGTCCATGACCTTGGATGGGAAAAATTTACATCTTTATTTCCGTTTTCCTCCAACCCGAAGTTTCCTTCAGTTATGAATGTAGGCAGCAAACATTATTCTGAGGAGTCTATGGACTTCACCAGATAGCCATTGAGGTCCAGGACAAATAAGGTTAAGAGCCTGGATAGAGAGCTGGCCTCAGATCCAGGGAGCCTTGGGTTCAAATCCTACCTCATCAGTGCTGTAGGCTTGTGGTGTCAGACTCGGATAGAAACAGGAGCTACTAATCCATACATTAGGATCCCTGCAGGCAGCAGTTTTAAAATATAATATTACATATATATATAAGTTTTATTTATTTTATGAAATATTTCCCAATTACATTTTAATCTGGTTTGAGCCACACTTGGGAATGTTGTGGGCCATGGGCTTCGTGACTGAGACCTCTCCTCTAGGCAGCAATCCTAGACCGAGTTCTGAGAAGATGCTGAAGCTGCATTGAGAGAGGGACTTTTCTCACCTGGAAGTTCTTTTTTTTTTTTTTTTTTTGGTAAGGCAGTTGAGGTTAAGTGACTTGCCCAAGATCACACAGCTAGTACATGTCAAGTGTTTGCTGTGAAGCTGGATTTCTGGAAGTTCTTTATATCAATGCAGTTGAAATCAGACAAAGGTCTAGTCCCTATCCTTATCTGAACCACTTTTAACAACTTTATGTGATTTTGTAATTTCCTTTTCTTTTTAATTCCCAGCCAAAAGTAGACTTAAGTCACTTTGATATCATCAGTTACCTTGGAAACAATATGAATCAGAGGCGAATCTGTTTTTTTCATGGATTGTGACTTTTTATAGCTTTAGAAGAAGCTGGCATAGCTCTCTAAGGAATTAATGAAGTTCTAGAGAGTTTCAGGTTGTGGCATATTGTGTGTGCTAATGGACAGTGATTTAACTTTGGCAGTCACAGTGCTGGGATAAACTCAGCCTCTAGGATTCCCGGGAGACTGATCATTGCTCCTTTTAACGATGACATAAGTTAAGTGAGCTGTTAGCCAAGGATTAGTCAAATCTCATACATTGCCTTACACCCACAAGGCTTTTCTCCTGGCATGTGGTTTTATTGGCCCAATGATTCAGAAATCTCCTTGGAAAAAGGTAGGACTTCCTCAAAGATGCCTTTAGGACCCAATAGTTGGTGCACAGGAAGGGTCTTTTGAACAGCTTGTCAGGGAATAAACAGAGGTAAATCTGAGTCAACAGGCAAAGGGGAGATAGGAAAGCAGGGAACTTGGGTTTATATATGAGGCAATTAGGTGGCGCCATAGTGCATAGTGTCAGACCTGGAATCAGAAAGACATCTTCGTGAGTTCAAATCTGGCCTCAGACACTAGCAGGGTGACCGTGGGCAAGTCACTTCTCCCTGTGTGCCTCAGTTTCCTCATCTGTCAAATGAGCTGGAGAAGGAAATGGCAAACCACTCCAGTTTCTCTGGCAAGAAAACCCCAAATGGGGTCACAGAGTCAGACATGACTGAAAAATGACCAAATAACAACAACCTGGGTTTTTAGGATCATATATTCAGAGCTCGAAGGGACCTTAAGGGTCACCTAAGTCCAAACCCCTCATTTTATATATAAAGGTCACAGGGATAGTAAACCCCAAAGAGAGGATTTGAACTCAGGTCCTCTGAC